GTAGAGCTTCCACCACCACACATTTTCTTCCAGTAGCTACTTCATTCCCGGATAGTGGTCTGCTGATGATATCCTCTACACATACTCTCTTTTGGTGATAATACCACAGTCTCCCTTTCACCCACATCATAGGCTACCATTCAAAGGCCTGTTCATTCTCTTTTCTTAGACAAGACATCTTCGTCTTTAATGTCATAGAGTACTTTTGTTCTCTCAGTGGCAAGTATTGCTGTCCTGCCCTAACCTTTGTAATGATACCAGACCAGAAATCAAAGCTGAGAGGTAATGAGCCTCTTCTTATATCATTAGTGAGAATTCAGAAGTGAGAACTTCATCTTTGATAGTAGGGTTCCTCGGCCATTAAGGGCCGGCGACCATTTAGACCCGGTTTGAAAAGGGCCCCCACCGGTAAGCTCGCCCTGTTGCAAAAACCCCTTTCATACCGGCCTGGGATGCTGGACTGGTTGTTGATCTCAAACTTCTTCATCCTGGGGTCTACTGTTTGCAAGTACTGGTACATGTAATCTATCCAAGGAGGAACATGCTTGCGGTTTTTAGTCCTTCACCGCTACAATACAATGTTTACATTAATCCGCTTAGACCCCTATTCATCTGTGGCAGCATGGTGGGGGAAGCCTTTCATCAGGGACTTTGAAATGCTGAAGTGCCCACAGGCCTGATACCAGCCTGGAGTAGCCTGAATACCGGGCAGGCATTATACAGGGTGGGCTACTGGGGGGCCCTTTTCAAACCGGGTTTAAATGGTCGCCGGCCCTAACTTTATTTGTTCCAAATGGCTGCTCTTCGCACATGTCAAACCTATCGCGATTCATGATGCTAAGTTGACATAATCCGAAAGCCAGAGGAGTGAACCGTGTTTTGTTGGATATATGTTTCTTTGCATATTCTGAATAAAGAGGTCATACTTTTGGAGAGTTTGAATGACACTTTGTCATGGTTCAGCAATTTGAGTAATCGATTATTTATGTTTTTATCAATATTTTGTCAATGCATACTGTATTTCTTCAGTTGAAAACAAACTTATGTCATGTTTTTCTGCATAATTTGAATGACGACACCTTGTCAGGGTTGAGCAATTTGAGTTATTGATTATTACTGTTTTTATCGATAGTTTATCAATACATACTGGTTGCACAATTAAAAACAAATAAAAGACAAAAAGAATTTCAATAAAACCAATGTCCCATATTTACATGTTAAAATAAATAAGGAATAAAAACCTTAAAATGTAGAACTGAGGTTAGCTGCAGTTGGGTGCAGCCTTAGGTGTGCATGGGGAGTGTTTAGTGCATAAACAACTTATGTCAATTATTTTAAAGATGAAAAAAGAAACTGACTAGAACAAGATTCGAACCTGCGACTCTGGATTACCATACCAGTGCTCTACCAGTCCTCTGTTGGTGGTTCCTCCCATTTGTCAATATCCCTTTTCGGGGGGCACTAGCCAGAAGCCATTAAACCTGAAATGCCATGTAGCTAGGGATCACACCCCAATAACATGATACAACCTGGGACGTGGTGCACAAGGATCACTCAAAGAGGATACAGCTTTTATGAACATATATTATGAAACAAATTATATAGGGAAACTGACTAGGTGCTCATAAATTATTATAAAGATGAAAAAAGAAAACTTCAATTCTAACATTTAACCACAAATATGAAGTGAGGTTCCCCTTTGTTGTAATTTTCAGTTCAATAACAAATGGTAATTAGCCTAGATTTCTCAGAACAGACATTGGGACTAATATAGGGGCGTGGCTTGAAAAGGAGATAATTAACGGAATAAGATGTTCACTCACAAATATATCAGATTTAATGTAAGAGAGCAATAATATTGTTGATAAATGAAATGTATTGAACCTTTAATTTTAGTGCCATAATTTTGTCAATATTTAACCTGAACTTTCTAAAGACCACAACACATCATTGGACTTAGAATAGGTTCTTGAGGTATGGAGTTACTGGGGTAGAGCCAATGATTTTCCGTTTCAAATATGGGTATTTTCTGTTTCGCTAAATCCCGAATTCCGCTTCAGAAATTCAAATATTGTTTCATACCTTCGTGAGCATGAAATAGAAGAGCAGCTTTAATGAAAGGAAAAATTTACCCAACCTCATCGCCCCCCAAAAAGAAACAAAAATAACAAGAGTGTTTGGAAATACTCTGAAATGTTTCCAATTTTTTTTATAATTTCTGTAGCAAAAACTTTTTTAAATCCAGACATTAAATACTGCACACCCACCCCTTGATTTTCCACTGGTGTGCGCGCGATAACTAAAAACTCGCTACAGTTAATCAACAGACAATTCATGTGCCACTCCTTATGTATGAAATCAGATTACATGTATGTACATGTACAGTGAAGTCACAGAGTAGGTCTTGCATGTCACAGTCGTTGATAACAGATACGTTAATGTTGCACATCGACCAGCCATTTTATTTGGCAGTAGTGCGACAAAATTCAGAAAGTTATCATTAAATCTGAACCTTAAAATGTTGTTTGTGACTAAAAACTTCCCTCCTTATTGAACACTTCCGAGGGCCCATTCAGCTATGGTACACCAAGCTTACTAGGTTTTTTTTAATTCAAGAAATATGTAATTTGTGTTCTGTTTTGCAGCTGCGGTTTCATCATTTTGCCATGCGGTACCTGCCTTGTCTCAAGGTGTCCCTGAGGATTCACAAACTAAATCCCACACGTGTGCAATAGTCATATGTGTGAGTAAGAACTTGTTTGTGCCTTGATTTCATTGCTAGTATGGTGCACATGTGAACGGCCAATGTCTATCGGCAGTGTCTATCGGAAGTTATCTGCATAGTAATATGCTAGACAACTCTACAGTCATCTACCTCATGCTACCTTTAATATGGTTTTGCAATGAGTTCTGTCGAGGTGTGTCTGTAACAGCCTCCTCACCAAGACCACAAGGACCTGTATTATCTCCAGCTCTATACCAGATATATGGGAGTCTTCCTTTCACGGTATCACACACTTCAGTGCGTCCTCGGCTAACCTCCTCCAATCCAGGGTAAGGTGCTACTCTGCATATATAGTGACTGTTTTGGTAGGTTGAGTGCAGTGGGCTCCTCTCCCACAGCAATGTGGGTAGAATCTGCTAACAAATAGCTACCCAAACAGTCACGGCCATCCCGCCCTCCCCACTCTGGCTTGAACCTCGCACTCCAAAAAAGAAGGAAGAACATGACAGCTTGGACCTTGCACTCAAAAAAAGAAGGACGAACATGGTGGCGGTGCCACCATGCATCATGGGCCTAGAGGGCACACTACAATTGATCAAGTTATAGTGAACAGAATCAGACACAAAAGAAATTTGCACATATAGTGACTGTTTGGGTAGGTATTTGTTAACGGACTTTTCTCACACTGCTGTGGGGGAGGATTTGACTCATTGGTACCAGGGGCATTCTGCGGATCTGACCGACGCACCTCTTTTTCGGTCGGAACAGATTTTTTCAGGAACTTCTTCATTTCCGGTCTCCTGGTTTCTACGATTAGGGACGGCATCAAAAATNACGGGCAGGAACGCATTCCGAAGTGCTCTTCGGAACGGGGGTGAACGGGAAGGCGAGCAGAACGGAAGGGAACGCGTGCGGACGCGTGCAAACGGTCTCTGTATTTTTGATCCCGTCCCTTAAGAACTACCATTTGGCAATAGCAGTGATACATTGCTTTTCTGGTGGCTCTTCGATTTTTAACAACTCGGCAATTTACCACCTCCTCCAAGGAATGTTCATCAAATGCCCTCCATCCAAGCAACTCATTCCTTTGTGATGCTTGAGTGATGTCCTTCAGCTCCTGGAAGGCCTTCCCTTTGAGCCAGGGAGCCGTGCCCCTTCCATCACTTAAGTATCAAGCTTGCATTCCTACTGGCTGTTGTTACTTTTCGTTGAGGCTATGAAATTAGGGCCCTCCCCATAGCTGATGGCCACATCCAATGGGAGATGCTTGGTGTGCATCTAGTTCCAGAGTTAGGCTTCCTCACTAAAAATCAGACTCCCTCCGTCCAGCCTTCAGACATGTTTGTCCCAGCAATCCAGTCATTGACAATCTCCTCTTCAGATAAACTCTGGTATCTTGTCCACATGATGAAGTGATACCTCAATCGGACGAAGGACATCTGAGGGCCAGTCTCACAGCTGTTCATCACATCTACCCAAACCTATCGCCCGTCTTCCGGATACATGATTGTGAGGTGGGTGGCTTCGGCTATTAAATTTACTGTTACTGGCCTACTAGCCCAGATGACAAATGTAGACAACATATTCGCACCAAAGATGTCCGGGCCGTTTCTTCTTCCTGGGCTTAATTCAAGGGGGTTTCAGTAATAGATATATGTAAAGCTGCATGTTAGAAATCCCCTCCTACATTCACCTCCTGTTATCTTAGTGATGTTTTGCAGGGGGACCATACTCATGGACTGGCCATGCTCAGGCCATTACCCCTGCCAGTGGATACACTCAAGCAATCGAGGAGTAGAACTTAAAAAAAAATCAAGAGAAAAGAATGCCTTCTGTGCAGAGTTGCACAAAAGCCAACGAAGAAAAAACAAAAATCGAGCAAAGGCATTTCCCTTGTGCTTAAGCAGAAATGCCATTAATACATTCTGCCTGCATGCAAGTATTGTCAGTTGGGTGCTTGGTTGTCTAGCCTACACAACATACAGGCACATGTGCATGCTCACTATGCGTGCACAGTGATTGGGAAAGCCAGTGATCTGCTTACAACAAATTTCAGATAGATTTTGGCAAGGTCCTGTGGACTCATACAAATGAGCATTGACTGCACATACCTGGAAAGGGAATAACTATGAGTCTGTAGACCTTACATTATTTGCCTCAAGCTGCAGGTTCAATATTATGTGCCAGAAATAAGCAGAATAATGTCTGGAGAGAAAAGACTTAATTAAAATTTTTTAAAGCAAATATAGAGATATATTTAAACTCTATAACTCACATCGGCATCCAGCGCTGGAGAAACCATAATGGTCAAATAGACACTGGTCACACAGTGGCCCACCTACTCCATCCAAACAGGGACACTGACCAGTAGTGTAATCACACTGGATGGCTGTGGAGCCTGTTGAGTCACAGTTGCATGGTTGGCAACCCCGGCCACTCTCTAAGTCCCAATAACCCTGGTCACACTGATCACACTGACGTCCAACCACAAATGGTAAGCAGTCACACTGGCCAGTTGTCTGGTCACACTCGATGCCAAAAGATCCAGTGTAGTAACAGTCACAAGCTGTAATGGAGAGAAGAGATACATCAACTGTGATCCATAAGAAAAACTTACGCAAAGCACCCTACTCGCTACTACATTTATACATGCAGAGCAATTCATCTAACATGTTTAACCCTAACAGTCCCAAATCCTCAGATTTCAATATGATTTTACATACACCTTGGGGGTTAGGGTTAAACTAACTCTGATCACTATGTATTTTTCAGTCTATTGTTACACAGTGACCTATTTTGTGACCAGTTCTGTATCATTCCTCCCCCTTTTCAAAAATTTATGGCCATGTGAAATCTATCTAAATATTGAAATATCTGATCACATCCAATGTAAGTGTAAAACATAAATATAAAAAATTTTTAGAAAGTGTACGGTACTTTCAATAAATGTGCATTTTTCTATATTCTAATCAACTTTCCCAGCCAAGTGAATTTTAGGTGAATTTTAAGTCCTCAATTTTAAATTTTTTTTTTTGCGGGTTGGATGGTGGTCCTGCCTTTTTTCCCAGCGGCCAGCAAAAGTTATGCAGTCAGAGGCATACAATAAAATCTTGAGAACTCGAACTCGAAGTCAGTTACGTCGAAAGATCATTTCTTGACAAAAAATAGGTTTTTATAAAAAAAAATACTTCTATAACTGTCCACAACACTAGATCTGATTATCTCGAGGTTTTTGTGATCAGTAAAATAAAAAATCCGGCAAATCGCTACAAAAATGAAAAATCTGCTGAGAGACCTTGGTTAGAGTCATCATATTGGAACTGCTTGTGTTGCACGCACGTACCACCGTGATCGCGCAAACCCTGTATTCAGGCTAGCCTGACTGCTACTGCAGACCCATTTATGGACAATCTGATCGCTGATTCTCCAATAACCACGTGACCACAGAAAGTGTTGTTATCAGAAATCCCAAGTGAAAAAACCATGACATTCAGTGGCATGCCATGCTGAACACGATCAGCCGAAAGACAAAAGATCTGCCACACAAAGGTACATCATTGAAGCAGTTTATTTTTATTTAATAGTAGAAAGAAGTCTTTAGATTACAACAACAAAAAAAATCTTAGTAAAATGATTATTCATCTGCAAAAAATACACCATGAGATTGAATAAAAAGCAGGAAAACAATCACTAAAAAATCTTGCCACTGGACAAGTACAGTTAAGTACACATTTCAAATATGTGTTTCGTGACTCAGGGAATTACGTTAATCACTGAAAATCTGGACAATTTAAGATTTTTATTCATTTTCCGAGGTTCGAGTTTTCAGATGTTAATGGCAACCAATGAAAACATGACTATGTCACCTGCATGTGGTATGCATGGCCCAAACGTGGCTTTTGTGACTGATTTTATCCTTCAAAGTGTGCCATATAAGCCGCCCGGCGTACAAGCCGCGGAGACGTTTTTCAGTATGGCAATCAACGCATAAGCCGCCACTTATACATGCATTCCGAAAATTGCGGTGCATGCATATACACGCGTATTGGTTCAATTTCTTTATTAAACATGTAAAAACCCTCCAAATTCTGCATAAGGTTCTGGTACTGATTAAATATCAGACTGGAAAAAAAGAAGTCACCTATATTTACCCGTCTAACCACAACCAAAATCTCTGACATTTTTAATGTGAAATGCAGATGGACGGGCATTACTACAGCCCAATGGACAGACCAAAAAACAGAAATCAGTATCACATAGGCTTGCATCTGCTTCACCACTTGACAAAAAGTGCAGTTGCAAGTAACATAATGCTTCGTATTGAAATAAATTGTATCAGTTTACTGGCCTCTTCTTCTCAGGGTATGATGGTGCCATAATACATTTGGCTACCAAATGCATCCTTTTTGTAATTTGTCCTTAGTAACACACACCTCCGATCACTTTAATAAATGCCTAGTATTCAAAAAAGGTTAAAATGTCAGTGTAGCAGACCTTCCAACATTGGTATCAGAATCCTTTTCCCCAAAATTCAGAATTTTTCATGAAAATTCAGAATATTATACGTAACACGAGTTAACGAGAATAATGGCTCGTAAAAGTATTCTGGAAATTTCCATTGCTGTGTTACGTTCACATGAGGTACAATTGTACATGTCATTGGAATACAGCCTATTGAATATATGACCATATTAAAAATGGACACTGAATGTATTTCACTTGTTCAATAACAATACATTTGGGTAATGGTGTCAAAATCCATCACGTCAGCTTACAATGAACACAGAAAAATCAGAGCTGCATTGTATAAGAGTTGAGTCCGTGTCCGTAATGATGTACAGTATTGCACGTACTCCCTGATTCCATAAAATTTTGATTTACACAAGAGTTTACATTATGTGAAATGGTCTAAAATAATTTTTCATCTCCTAAATGTGTTGATTCACCGCAAAGTCCAGTGTGAATTAAGCGAAATCCAGCAAAAAAATCACCACATGGTGCTTGCACACTTAACATGATCGTGGTTGATTTCACAGCTGCAGTGCTTAATCTTGGTTCCAAAACATTCTTAGCCGTGGTTCCAAGCAAAACCAGGCACTGCGCGACGCATACAGTGTTAGTTACAATGAAGCTAGTCGATAGAGGGCATTTTTGTCCATGAACATTTTTTGTCCATAATCACGTTCATGATCATGTCCATCTCACGGCTGGTGCGTGCCAAAAGAGGGTGCTGCCCTGGATGTGGTGCACGCAACGTGTATTGCACTGTCTGTTCGCATAAGTGGGATAAGTCGTATTACTGTACATTCACAAGATTACAAATACAGTTTCCGGTAATACGTAGGTATGTCAGAATTGTGATTTGGCAGAAATTTGTGAAAGTGAAAATGTGGAAATTTTCCACCAAAATCTGAAGGGTTTGGAGGTCTGAGTGTAGCAGTATACATGCTAAACATTTGACAACATCTCCATGTCAGAAATTTTGCTATATAATAACATTAAACTGAATCTGAAACTGACAACTTACATTTACACTGGCCCTTGGGAAGTGCTAGGGCATCACCAAAGAAACCAGCCAGGCATCTCTCACAGTTGAAACCACCAGTGTTATAAATACACTTTAAGCATTCACCAGTATCCCTGAACAAGAAACAGCCACATTGGTTTTCTTACAGAAACTGATAAATTCAAGGCAAGATGGTCAATATAAGGCCTAGGCTATAAGATGTGCTACTGCTGAGCGGAACTCAAAAATTCAGTTTTTAAAAGTTCGGCACAGCAATATCACAGCATTTAGCACGATTCAGCTCAGTAAACCAAATTTGGTATGGCAAGCCCTTTAGCTTGACAGGGCATGCCATGCTATCATTGTCCCAAATTGAAGTGGCTAAATGCAGCTCTATTTAAGTCTATTTAAGTAATTGCTGCACTATTGCCACACTCATTAGAATTAAGTTCGGCACGGCAGTGGCACGGCATCTAGTCTTGGCCTAAGGAAGGAGAAGCTGAACTTTACCATGTACATGCGAGAAATGCATGAAGTCATTTGAGAAAGGTCAACAATGTTTTCTTTGAAAGTGACTATAATAATCTAAATGAAAGCATTTTCCCTTCTTGGCATTAGGAACTATATCCAATTACTATAAAATAACAATTACTATGCAGCTCAACCTGGATGCTCATTTTAGCATCCGGGGCACACTGTGCGCCATATGTCTCATTTTGATATGCAACTGGGCACAAATCTATGTATATTTGCAATCTGTATATAATCTGATCTCATTATGTATTTCTTTGTATAATTTATTTCATCATGATTTTGTCAAACTGAACGATATCACAATGACTAGCTGACGATCCTTTGATACAAACATGCACTGAGACTCATTCATGGAATGCTGTATAAACATGTACAGTAGTATACACTACATAGAGGGATTGCCTTTCAGACATTTCAACTGGCAGACAGCAACTGATAATCGTCATTGAAAAGGCGCCATATATATTATTCATTGCACTATTTGCTTTATTTGAAAGATGTGGAAGGAATTCTTTTTCTTTTTTTTGGCAACAGAATGCATGTCAGGTTTGGCACGTGTGACAAAGGATTTAATTCCTGAAAATGCTGAAAAGCCTGAGTTCAGATAGTTGGGCATGGCAACAATGATAAACACATTATCCAAGAGCCTGCACAGGTTACAATCCTACTGCTCTGCAGCTTCTTCACCTGTCACAATTTCCAACTGCATTCTCATCAATGTTGCCATTACACTGACAAGGAGTACAGGCCCTGGGTTGCCCGTTAAGACCAAGAGGATCCCCAAAGAAACCATCAGCACAGAATTCACAGCGGTTACCTGCAAAATCAACAAAGCAAATTAAGTACATGTACCTGTAAAAATCTGCCATAAACCCGTACACAAGGGCCCGCTTAAGGGCCCTGGAAGCTCTGGGGTTTAGATGCTCTCTTGTGCAATCTCAGCCTATTTTGTAGCATTTTTGCACAAGATTTATGATGTTAGTGGGCATAAATATCGTAAACAAATTGCTAATATCAGAAATAATTTTGGTTGAATCGAGAGTAGTGAATGAGTCACAGGGTAACGTTTAATTTTGAGAATAATGTAGCATGCAAATACTGTGCATCAAAAGACAAATTTCCCAACTTTTCTTAAAGTTAATATTTGAAAGTAGGCAGTATTTCAAAATTTATGTTACATGTAGGTTTTTTGAAGCTTCATGACCTAGCATTACCATTATGGAAGACATGACGTTCATGGCCTCTGAGTTATATGACAGGAATTTTTCAGGATTTTCCAGGTCAAAAATTTGATTTTTCCAGGACTTAATTCAGTTTGGACACGCAAAACAATATATCATAATCAATACAATACAAGATTGTGAAGTTATAACAGCATACAGAAATCGAGCAGCGCAGTGAAGAAGACGTGACAAGTTTTCTAACAGTGACAACCGCAAACCCTGTACCACAAGGTAGGCCTAGCCTACACACAGCTGATCTTAAAAATTAACTTCTCCATGTCCATTCAACATTATGGTACAAGGTTTAACTCAGTCACAGTTTTACTTTTAGCTTTATTAGTTTATAATGACTCGAAATAATTAATTACGTATTAAATATAGTAAATAAATTTAATAGAAAATGATTTCATAATTATATCTAAAACTGACAGTTCACCGTGGAGCTACAAAAACGAAGGTAAAATTTAACTACAAGAAAGTTTAGTAATGATATCCTTGGTGCTCCACGCATACAAAATAGAAAAAGTCACATTATGAGCACCATCCAAAATTGATTTCGCTCATAGCGCTGCATGCAGCGAGGGTACTTTGGATTGTGTAGACGGTGCATGGTGATTGAATAATGTACAACTATATTACACCACGCAATAGCAGAAATGTAAATTTTCAGTCAGTTTATTAGATCATTTTTTATTTACAATGTTAATTGCTGAGGTCAGTGGAACACTAGTAACAATGTACATGATTTTCTCTGTGTTTCAATGAGCACAGAACCGGGAAGGCTACACTATTTTTAAGGCGCCTTGTGTTTACCTCCGCTCCAGCCGATTTTAACAATTAGGCTCATCTCTGCTACAGCCATTTTAAAGAAATTTTTAAAACTTGTAATTTTGAGACTGAAATTCGTAATTTGGAATCTACATTTAAATTTTGTAATAATTCCACCAAAATAGGAATGGTTGGCTGGTATGTGTACATATTAGCAACCCCCTTACAAACTTTACGGACAGTCCCTCATTTGTGCACACCATATCATTGGTTAAAATGATACAGTGTATGCATCAATTTTCAACTGAATTTGCATAAACCTCTATTATCCACACATGAAAGGAATGTACTTGAGTGTAAAAACATAGTGGAATGGTAATCAATTCTTTAACAGTGCACTGCAATTTGTTGTATAGTTTCTTGATTGAAGGACAATTTTCTTATCTAACTCCATGGAGTAGGAAGTGAGACAAGAAATTACTTCTTGACGTAAGAATTTCTTTCTTATAAAGAAAAACCTTTTTAGCGGAGGAATGTTAGGTATTATTTATTGCTGAGGGTCATGATCAGCACAATCAACTTACCCACATATCCCATAGGACAGTTTGTGCACATGACCTCCCCAGTGCTAGGCATCTGCATGCACTCACTGCCACCGGGGCATGGACATGGTTGGCAGTCATCATCACCACCTTGGGTAGCATCTCCATAGAAACCGGGCGCACAACGTTCACACTGATCACCAATAGTGTTATCCTGACAGATACAGATGCCTGGATAGGTAAAAAAGAACTTGATATCAGATACACTAAAAACACTATGGGCCTTCTTTCTCAGCACCAATAGAATAGTTAATTTGTACGGAGATGGGAAGTACTTTTATCAGTGCTACACTTCGTGCTGGAGCATTTTTCAATGTTGATGATGCTGGGCTGGCATGACTGTCATTTTTTCCGTTTTCAAAATCCTTCAAAAATTCATCATTTCATTTAACGGTCTTTTATAGCCGCAAGAAGTAATCTTCTGGTACTAATCTAAGTTGATAGGTGACCTTCATTGACGCCAGAGTATTTCAGCCAGGCCTGCAGCCTTGTAAGCAGAGCCCAGATTGTGCAGTGTTATATAACTGTCTTTTGTTCACGAACCTGGCTCAGTGCACTGCTGACCTCTTTTCAATAGGGGCCAGATTAGCGTGCAACGGTGCTGTGTGGCTCATCGCTGCGGTGGTGGAGCGCTTTTGACCCCGGTGGTAATCCACTCGCTCTCAATGCCCCAAACCCTGGTATAGGGTTTCNCTGTTTTTTTGTTTAGAGTACGGTCTTTTGTAACAGGGCCCTGTTTCCTTTGTCCGAGTTCGGAGACCCCGGCCACCCATATAAACCATATGTCTCCGATCCCGGAGTCCCAGACAGGAAGTGGTTCAGATATACATTTCCTCATTTTGCTCATTGCAAAAGTTTTGCTCATTGTTCAGGACCATCAACATAACATCTGCGAGCTTAATTTCTTCTGTTGCTGTAATATAATCCAGGAGAATCTTGCATCCAGGGTTTTAAACATAAAACCCATGAAATAGAAGCCAATGCCCAGCTGAAAATTGTCCTAGAAATCATTAGGACAGAAAGGTTTTTGGTCAGATTAAAAAGTTTCAATATGGTTGAAGCTGTGTATTTATTCTGTCGTGACAATTCACAAACCAACCCAGGGATACAGTTGATATTCAAATAATGTATGATTCAATATTCTTTAACAGCGTCAATACAAATGCGGTTTATGATTTAGTAAGAATTGATAATTGCTTCAGTTGAATTAACATGCTGCTACTGCATACAACTCACTGAATATTCATTTCAAAACCTTTTAGTTTGATTATGTGTCTTTGGTAAAATCCTTTACAGTTAATGTTGTGGAAAAGGAGCCATATAAAAATATTTTAAATGGATCACGTTGTAGCCTTTGCACACCATGTTGCCAGCATGCCTTGCAGCACAGTGCTGTAAGTAGTAGGTGCCAAGGTTCAGTTTGGGTTCAATTAAGACACGTTTCAGAAATTTTTTGCCGACCTTCGGTTCGGTTCGGGTATGTACACACATGTACGTACATGTACAACGCACGAGACATTGAAGAGCTAGCTATGAACATGCCGTATGTAGTACTTCTGTGTACAAAATAAGTTAAAGGGGATGGGCCATGTTGGGTTAAATTGATGTAATATGATAGTTTTCAACTGTCTTATAAACAATAAGTTGGATTATCCCCTTTATTTTATGTCATTAAATCAGCAAAACCTTCCATTTTCGGTGTGCTTTTTTCAGTCTCCCTCTGGGCTCTTTGCAAAAATTCATTGATACCCGTCAATGAGGGCAGCAGACAAATCTTGGCAAAAATGTGACGTCATAGGATGGACTCGACTTTCCAGACCAGAATACATAGTTCCGGCAAGGAAGTTGATCGGTCCAAGCAAGCGACTCGCAGTGTATGGTGAAAAAAATTGTCAGAATGAAACACCAACTTTGACAAAGTAGGCTGGCCTTTAACCATGGACAAAAAACTACACCCCCAAATGACTGAAACACACAACAAAACAACCAAACTGGCAAAACAGATAAAGCAGGAGATCATCCAGTGTTTTCACCCTTCATTACCCATTTTATACTGGCAGATGGGCTATGTTGGACCACATTGCGAAGCCTTGCACCCAAATATCATCTTGTAAACAGCTGCTTATTTTGTCCCAAATTTATCTCACTTTGAAGTGTATTAGCCACATCCTTTTAGTATTGCAGTACAGTTACGTTCAGTATCGTGATTACTGATGCACTGGTAAATTATTATGCCCCCATAACACATTCACAATAAATTTACAATGCATACTTCTCAATTCTGTTTCTTTACCTATTATGTTGCAGAAATCTTAAGGATTATAAGTTTGTGTATGAAGTCATGTAATACTTACCTGAGCTTTCTTCACAGAAGTCAGCATGGCCATTGCACTCACAGGGGATACACTGAGCATATGGTCCACCCCCAGGGGGATCCCGGCGGAACTTGCCATCACAAGATTCACAGAACTGGCCAATGTATCCCACAGGGCATTGACACAGTTCAACAAAGTCTACCCGCTCAGCTCCTGGGCCTACAGCCCTCCGCACAGTTGGGAAATCAAAGTTGTCAATGATACCTTGTGCTGTAAATGGAATAAAAGCAAGTGAATTTCTGTGCTTAGCATGCATGTATGTCAAAAATAATCACTGAAAACATTTATCAGAGCTGACAATTGGAATTCATTGACTATTTAACAACTTTGCTGTCTGGTATATTACTCATTATAAATATATGTTATTAAATGACACACAAATCCGGATGGAATTTGCAGAATCAACACTTTGAAACAGAAATGACTGCTTGAAACAGAACTTGCAAAATTCACCACTAAGAATGGCTTCAAAAGGAAAGAAAACTTTCTGCAAAGAACCATGAATAAATGCCAACCAAGCTCTTTTAAAATGCTTGCTTTTAATGAACAAATTATGGTGGCAATATGCTAAATTGCACCACTCCACCACATGATTGGGTCGTCCGCGCCGCGCCGCGCCACTACTGATACTTGCAGCATTGTCGCATCCAGGAGCCTCAGGGCTCAAGTGTGCAACGCTAGCGGTGGCTGGCAGAGCGCAGTACGGTACACGCGTTGGGCATTCACACGTGCACCGTACTAGCATTGAAGTCAAGGCGCAAACAAGTTCATTCTCACACATACGCTCATTGCACATGTGGGGAATTCAGTCTGTGAATCCACAGAGATGCCTTGAGAAAAGGCTAGTACTGCATGGCGAAACGATGAAACCGCTGCACCAAAACGGAAGACTAATTGCATATTTCTTAAATTAAATGAAACCTAGTAAGCTTGGTGTACCATAACTGAATGGGCACTCGGAAGTGTTCGATGAAAAGATAAGTTTTCAGTCAGAAAAATGCATTTTAAGGCTCAGATTTAATGTTAACTTTCTGAATTTTGTCACAGCACTGCCAAATAAATGGCAGGTCGATGTCTCACATACACATATTGTGATCAACGACTGTTGCATGCAAGACCTACTCTATGACTTGCCTGTACATGTATTTAAATGTAATTTGATTTTATACAGGAGGTGTGACTTGTCCGTTGATTAATCGTAGCGAGTTTCTGATGATCTCGCTGATGGGAAATCAAGGGGTGGGGGATGCCGTATTTCTTGTGTGGATTTTTTTTATTATCACTACAGAAAATTATTTTTCAAAAATTGGAAACATTACAGAGTATGTCCAAACAATATTTGTTTCTTTTCTTTCTTTTTTTTTAGGTGGGGGGTATGCTTGGGCAAATGTTTTTCATACATAGTTTAAAACTTGCTCTCCTTCTTCATGCTTACTAAGGTATGAAACGGAATTTTGAAATGAAAGTATATGGAACATCCCAGGAGCAATTTTTCCTGTACTACTAATGCATCATTACATCGAAATGAATTTGAACACATTGTGCCCTATATTCCATCATTCCGCGATACAACATTGTAGTTTAGTCTTTGTAGCATTTTTTTATTTCATGTGATTTTAAGTTTTGTTTAAAATTTCCACCAGATTTAAAATTTTCAAAAGAAATTTTAAAAGTAACTGCCATAATTCAATTCACAAAACATCACACGTACATGTACACACGCATATGTACAGGATGTTCTTCCAATGTTGACCTTGTCCTGTCTGAACTACCAACAGCCCACTGTACATAAACTGACTAATCTGGGTTTCCAGACTACATCATACTTATTACTTTGAAATTACCACTTTACAACAAATTGAAAAAAGTTTGAGGAGTTGAAAGTAAAAATGAGCCACCAATAAATCTCAACAGGTCCATGAAATGTAATTGTTATGAAGTCCTAGTAAATCCACCTTTGCATCCCATTCAATGCAATTTTCAAATTTTATTTAGCAATTTAGCAATAGACCGATTGCCCTCTAAATCAGGTGACCTATAGTGGGTATCTCTCTCATAGCAGTGTGTGTTGTGTTTTAACTGCTGTTCACCCAAAACAAAGCTGATTTTCAGTATGGAACCAAGCACATCAATAATCTGAGGATGGTACCTTCCGTCAGCTATATTTTTGGTAAGAATGATACTTATGACACACTTTGCAGTATGAGGACATTGTGTATGTTGATATTTAATACCCACTATATGTCATGTGACCTAGCAGGCACAATCACTCTATTTTAAAGGGTATCAGGTGAAGCAGCAGGTACCGCAAACTATTTTCAAGATGTATTTTTGCATTGGGGATTGTTAATTTATATAACAGGTTTTGCCCTTACCCAATGATTATATTAAGAAACACTGTTTGCTCAGTGCTTGTCCGAGAGCTTGCGAAGAAAGTCACAAGCTTACTCATCCCACCCGAGTAAGCTGGCCAGCCGACACCGGCAAGCTCGTCTGCACTGGTAAGCTGGAGGTTGTGGGTTCCAGAACTGCCCGAGTGAGCTTGTGACCTTTTCGCAAGCTCTCACACAACCACTGAGCATACAGTGTTTATTAATATATACGTTAGGTAAGGGCAAACCTGTTATATAAATTTTACATCTGCAGCACCCAAGGGTTTTAAAAAACCAAAACCTAAAAGAGCCAGGGTATTTTGGCCCCGCTCACAGCCGGTTGGGGGCAGATTCCAATCCCCAGGAACTAGGTGTTTCATACACAATTTTTTTTTTAACTTGGTTTACATGAAAAGACACTCATTATCAGTGTAACAGTGAAGTTTGATCTTAATTGGATAAGTGGTTTGTTGTTACGGTCACTTGAAGCTCAAGGTTATATGTGTGCCAGCCTGTGTGCATTGAGCACCACAATGGAAAAAGTATACACTTTTGGCTGACCTGTCTCACAAAAACTGGCGCTGTGCAGCAATGGTATGCTCGATTTTCACAAAAGTGGTGCCAAAATGACTTCAAGGAGTTACTCTAAAAACTCATAAAGGCTCAGCTCTTCAAAAAAAAGCTACTGTGATAATATCAGAAAACATGTAGAGGGGGGCATTGAATTCTACCCCCCCCCTTCTAGGGTTAGGAAATGAACTTGACAAAGAAACACACACAGTATGTACATCAGTGTTGTAGTCAAGACCAGGCAGTCCAAGACCAAGATCGAGACCAACCTTCGAGACCAAGACCAACACCAGGCCAGAAAAAATAATTTGAGAACAAAACCAAGAACGACAGTCAGAGGCCAAAACTGACCAAGACAAGGGGTCCAAAGACTAAGACAAGCGTACTCGAGACCAAGACCATGTTCCAACTGGTCTGGTCTCAAGACAAAAAGACCAGTCTTGACAACCACAACACTGATGTACATATGGGTTTATGGATGCAAAATTTACGGTTGCACATAAATTCAGAGCATGTCAATCTGTTACCGATGGTGTCAGTTTGTTATCAGGCATATATTTGAGAGCCTCCTTTTCTTCAACAGTGATTTAGGAAAACAAGCCGGGCCAAGTCCCAAGAACATGCTCTTTTTATTGATTGCTGTATGAGCAATATATCTACTTCATTTATTTTTGTATTCATGTTTATTTTATATTCTGAGAATACTTTTGCTGAAATGTACACACACTGCGATTGTACACTGTCCACCGAATGTCTGGTTTCACTGTGGTTGCCTCGTTCGGTCATGCATGACACAACAATCTTCAACATAATATTTATGGGGCTACCTCATTAACTTTCTTAGCACGAGTGCATTTTCGCTTCCGTTGCCTTAATCCTTTGCAACAGGGCCACACCGTGGTGAGCGCTTGCAGTCAAACCGCGACAACATTTTGGACAAGCTCCGTTTCTTGCTGGCCTTATGTTCTTAAGTTGGAAATGCTGACATGTATTAGCAAAGCAAGAAAGCTTAATTTATTTTTTTTCTTTAAAATTCACAATACAAATTAAAATGTATTTTTACTCTACATACAATATAATCATTGCATTTTGAAAGATAAGTTTACGGAAGAAGGTGCCCATTGAATACTACATTTTTTGGTATTTGTGAAGAGCCCTAACCATTCAAAATTGCACAAAATTGTTCATTTTTGTTTGCTGTTGATCAAATTTTTTGTCTTTGTTTCTTGTTGACTAATTCCATTTTTATCTCAGGCATTTTGACTGTACATGTGTATTTTCAGTGTACGAATTATCATGCTTCTGTATTATTTGTTCTTACCTTCCTCAGCATAAGTTGCCCTGATCATGACAGCTGTCAGGTTAGACAGCAGACGCTGTAGATCAAATGCTGAGGGCCTCTGTACCCAACCTAACTCATCTTCCTCTCGCAATCTGTGGGGTGGTAGAGGAACTTGTCACATTAGGTAAAATGGTTTAAGAATTATTCATTAACCCTAACCCACTAGGGCCTTTTTACTAGGGCACATCCTCAATCCTCAAAAATCCTATAATTACCCAACTTCAAAAACTGCATTCAGCCTCAAGCCTCCAAAATCCTCCAGCTTTTAAACGGTTGATAAAGCATCAGCAGTGTGCTGTATCCTAAAAACTTTTCTGGTTTCTCTTGAAATGTAAACTTTCATGAAATCAGGTCCCTTCTCCCTTGTTCTATTGATTGACCATTCACAATCCACACTCATGCTGAAACCTATGCGCACACTGCACTGGCTTATCATGTTCTGTGCCACCTCTTGCAGCATGCTCCACGCATACATCAATCCCCATATAAGAGGACAACTACTACTCCTGGGAGGCACATGGCTGGAGGAGTGTTTGAAAAAAATAAACTTCTTGAACAAAATCATTGAAAATTTATAATTTTATCAACTTCTGTTTGCTTTCTGACTCAAGGTATTTATTTATAAATGGGAATAAACATTGTTTTGTGAATCTCAAACAAATAAGTGTTTGGCTGGTTGTTGCTTAAGGCCAGCAAAGCACCTATATATTCACATATGAAACCAGTGACAATTCACAGGGACTTAAGAAAAATTTTCACCGTTGAATTTTTTGCTTAGGAATTCACATACAAGCATTTTGATTGATAAGGCTTGAAGATTTCAGAAGCCTACACAATTCACGTTATGAGTTGAAGTGTACATTAAAAGCTACAAGTATACTTGCGAACAAATACGAAGCAATTTGGGAATGTCATTTAGTATGGAACAACATGTCATTACAGAACATAGTAATGCAAAATTACAAAATTTTTTTCATGTGCTCCTGAAATGTAGGAAAAATGCAACAGTTATAAAACTTGGAAAAAATTCCTTATGTATGTAACCATTCTGTTGTGGAAAGCTACCCCTTTGGGAAGAAACATAATGCAAAAGCTGAAGTGCTCTGGGCAAACTGTGACAAGTTGTATCTTGTCAAGTAAATCTAGGATGGTCATTTGTAATGAGTCTTTCGGTATGTTAATGGTGCATGCTCAAAAGAAGAGTGTTGTAGGTCATTCAAAAACATCAGTGTGCATGTACAAGGTCAGCCACAAACCAACTCACAAGCACTGAACTTGTTCAAACAGGTGCAAGGTCAGATGTTCTGCTCTCAAATGACCATGTCTATTTGCATTAATGAACTGGCTGATTTTTGCACATGTTACGAACAGAAACAGGGCAGTTGCTTGTCTGAAATATTGCATTTCAGACACTCAAACAAATCCTCTCTGACAAAAATAGCCACTACCCACTTGAAAGTGTACTTCTGAGGCAAGACACTGGGGGCGGGGTTCTCCTGGGCCACGATGGGTGCTGAGATGGTCAATCCACTACCCATTAAAATAACATCCTCCACAGTCAAGCTTGGCTCTGCCCCCACATGACGAAATGTGAAGGTCATATCCTGGCCATACGCCAAGCGTTTATCACCCAGGTATTTAGCTGATTGGAAACAAAAGAAAGGTTAAATGAATCCAATGGCTTAAAGTAAGTGATTAACAGTGTTTTTTTATGGCCTACAATGTATCAGGGCAGGAGGTGTTGACATCAAGGCACTAGTGCTTATGTTGCTTCAAAGGCAATCACGGTTTTTAGAGGAAGGAGTAATACAAAAGATGACACTCTTTTCACTCATTTAAAAAAATTTCATGAACTAAGACCAAAATAAACAAACTGTAAGTTATTCAAGGATCAGATGGAATTTCAGGCTATTCACAGTGAAGGACAGCAACAGGTGGAAAGGCTGAGGTGGAAAGAGAGATATATTCCTTCGCTTGGTGCTACCGCAAGCCTTTCCACCTGTTGTTATTCAAGGATACTGTTTTAAAAGCATGACAGCTGGCGTAATTTTTTTTCCAGAAGAGTTAGGGGCAATTATCATATACGGGCGTAGTTAACAGCAAGCTCAAACAATTTAGTGCACACTTAAAAACTTAAGTGCGAAGGTATATGCCAAGCTTTACTTTCCTATTATAAAAACAACCTCCAACCAATTCCCCTCTAAGAAAAAATAATTACTACATATAGACTCAAACTCTCGGCTTGTTGGTTCTGAATATAATGCTCTTCTAACAGAGCTACCATGCAAGTTGGCCAGAAAAACAATTTTGTTGTGTCTTAAAGGTTTGTGTACCCCATATATGATAAATGTCTCCAACCTTCCTACAAAAAACTTATGCGCAATGGTTACGATACACCCATTTTATTAAAATTACCCTTAACCTTCCAAGGATAAAAATTACGCTGACAGCTGCAGATGAAGGTTAAGTCAAGTCAGGAGACTGAAGTAGAATACAATAGGAGTGCATTATGTATCTACGTCGTCAAGGTACTCCAGCAAAGCAGTTAATTTGCATCCCAACAAGTCTAAAATTGGTAATCCCCATGAAAGATATGATCGGCAAAACTGTGGTCTGAAAGTGATCTAGTTGGGTTATTTTGACAAATGTTTCAGGTAGAGCATGCAGTATGATTGATAAAACTGGTACTGTATATCTTATATTTGGCATGGGGGCGATGGTAAACTGGTACTGTATATCTTATATTTGGCATGGGGGTGATGGTAAACTGGTACTGTATATCTTATATTTGGCATGGGGGTGATGGTAAGAGTATGGATGCAATCTGTGATGTGTTGTCTCCAACACTGTATCATGGTTAATGTGAACATGTCCGTGGTTGACTTTGTAGAACATTATTAATCTGGACGTTACTCTTCTGAGCTCAAGTAGTGGCCAGCCTACATGTAGATCATGAAGCATAGCAGTGACACTTGCTTAGTTGTTCAAGCACTGTCTTACACAAGATAGGTGGATGCCTTCTGGCTGTTTCTTTTCCTCTTCTGTAAAAGAGGACCATCCACAGGAACCATCTTGAAGTTTGGGACGAATCAAGGGCTGGTACAGGTGGAATTTTACAATTCACTGCTTAGAGTTAGTCCAAGGTATGAATGACTTGATGTTATTTGGAGGTTCTTTCCATTGTTGTTGTACTCTTGGATGATTGGATTTTTTTCAGTTGTTATGTGCTTAGATAGACATTTTTCAGTGTTGAATTTCATGTGACACTCTCTTTCCCATCTACAGAGAGCATCAAGATCATTTGGGAGCAAAGTATTTGATTTTTCAAGGCAACTCTCTTTCATCACTGTTGTTTGTTCTGGCACTGAAGCCACCACTGTCTATGGCTCTACAAAAGGTCAGTGCCGGATATGAGATGAAAAAGAATGGCTGCAGAATTAATCATCTCCTCTTCATGAACGACTTGAAGTTGTTTGCCAAGAGTGAGAAGGAGATTGATTCTCTTGTGCAGATGGTTCGGGTGTACAGTGGGGACACAGAAATTCAGTTTGGTGTGGGGAAGTGTGCAGTCTTGACTTTGAGAAGGGGGAAGAGGGGGGATTTGTGATGGCATTCTACTGCCTGATGGGTTGTGGCTGAAATCATAGGGAGAATGAAGGATACAAGTATCTTGGTGTAATGGAGGGGGACTTCATGATGAACGACAAAGTAAAGAATGGGTTAAGCATTCTATCTATATCTATCTATATCTGCAGGGTAAAGAAATGTCCGAAGTTGAAGCTGAAAGGGGTCAATATGGTGAAGGTAATCAATATCTGGGCTGCGTTGCTGATGAGATACTATGCTGGGATTGTTGACTGGACTAAGGTTGAGTTGGAGTCTCTTGATCAGAGGGTAATGTCAGCAGGTTGTACTTGCCGAGGACCGGAGGACGGGGACTGACGAGTGTGGCGGATTGTGTAAACATTAAGAAAAATTATGCCATGGGAAAGGAAATGGATGCCACTGAATATAAGAGGAAAGGTTTAAAGACTGGGAAGGGAAGCCACTCCATGGGAATTTCTGAGGGATATGGAAGAGGCGGCAGGGTACAAGACCTGGGGATGGTTGAAAAGAGGCGACTTGAAGAAGGAAACGGTGGGTTCGATAACTGCGGCGCTGGATCAGGCACTGGGGATGAACGTCATGAATGCCAGGATAGAGAAAGCTGACTTATCTCCAATGTGCAGGATGGGGAAAAAGAAGAGACTGTGTTTCATTTGGTTTGCAAATGCAGCAAGACTGCCCAGAATGCATATAGGGGAGGTACAACAAGTTAGCCAAGGTAATCCACTGGGATGTGTGTCAGAAGCATGGGGTCGAGATCAAGGACAAGTGGTAGGAGTATGTCCCGGAGAAGGTTCTGGAAATGGAGGAGATAAAGGTTCTTTGGGCCTTCAACATTCAGACTGACTTAATTTAAAATTTCTTGCAACTGTTAGTGTTTCCACTGTTCAAAGACATGTTAAAATGAAAGACTAGTTGGACAAAAGAACTGAACCTATTTACAGTGCTGTTTAGTGCTGTACTGGTCTACAATGAACAGTTTAGATGTATTTGCTTTAAAGTCAAAAGTAAAGATTTATTTTGGATGAGTAGTTTTACAGAGAGACTCAAGCACCAAATGTCAACTCCCAAAACCTACAAGTGTACGCACCAAGCTATAAATAAAAATGTGGCAATTTTTTCTCAAACACTTTAACTTTTAGACTTGCGACATGCAATGTACCCATTACTGCTTGACAAAAGTTGGTTGACTTACGCTTTGATGAAATCAAACAAAACAAGATTCAAGCTTATGATGAGCATGCATGCATGCATGAGTGAACAAACATTGGCCGCACTAGACTTTCTAACTCCGAATGCATCAATGAAAATGGGATCAGGAACCAGATAGCAGCGGCGCGAGCAAATTCTTTAAACACGTGCTCGAGCCTGAGCTCAGGGCATTTTCAAAACGAGTGGATTAGACTTACTTGTCAGCTTCGCTGATTCCAGCCATTTGATGCAGTATTCTAAATTGCATGCCAGACTCTGACTGGGACCAGCAAAACTGAAAACCACAGCTAATCCATTTCAAAATGCCGTTAAGTCCCATACCGGTCACATTCTGGCTGTGAAGTACATGTACATACAGTATGTGCAGACAGATTCTGGTGAACTCGCATTGCCAACTTGTCAATCTTAATCATGAGGAAATATCTGTAATACATAGCATCTTCCCTTTCCGCTTTCGTCACTTCACCATGTAGCATGGCATATTCACAATCTATCTCCAACCATGAAAACTTCCTTAAATTTCTGGCACCTCTATCAACAGATAGGTCCCCATCTCGGTCAATCCTGTGCAACATCCCCCAAATCAACCAACATTTCTGTAAAAGCCACACAGAATCCACCTCAGGGTGGTGATCCACCCTGCAAAAGTTTTGCCACCATGTAAAAATATTAGTAGTATTATAGTATTTAAAATCTTATGTAAGGTAATAAAATCGAAGCATTTAAGAAAAATTTGATTAATTCCAATGCACAGAAGGCAACCTACCTGATGCAACAAAGTAGTAGGGACGATTGCTGTCAGAGGCAATGCCAATGTCTCTGCGAATGCTGTTATACACCAAAACACCCTCCTGACCATATCTACCCATTGCTCGCCAACCCTCATCATCTAAACACAATGAAATATGGGTCAATTAATTAATAAACACACATACAGGTACTGGTACATGTACAAGGAATCTTCATAAAAAGCAATCATCTAACACTTGATTAACAGTGCACTCACTCAAAAAGAAAATTACATCTATTTTGTCACAGTTCTAGATCACTGTAAAAAAGGGCGGCTTTTGGCATGCACCTGTATCTCCTCAATGAAGCCTATTTCACATTGATACAGGTAAGTGTGCAAACATTATGAAACCCTTTATTCCAGCCAATTGGAGCAAACATCACAAACTGTGATGAAAGAATCAATGAATGTTTTTGATGGTAAATACTTTAGGACCTCATATTCAGAAATGTTTGGGGGAAGTCCAACAACTTTTTTCAACCTTTTGGAAAGCTTGCGGTGATACTTTGCAAAGTTGTGAAAGATGATTCAAAGCCTGCACGTAACATCTTAGTTTTGACCTATGCACACTGCTATTTCAAGTAAATCTGGTTGATTACCTATCACAACTGTCTTGACGAATTGCTTCAAACAACTGAAAAATTTGCAATCTATGTGTATCAAAGGAATTTGTACCTGTATTAAACTTGCTCTGCAGGTAGGAGAATTCATACCCAGGGGCAGAGGAACAGTCAGAGGAATGACCATGACAGAAGCAGGACATACATCCAAAGGGGTCATCCTCCTGCAAGTTGAAGTAACCTGATTTGCATCTACACAGGGAGGAGTATCAATGAATATTGTTCCATTAAGTAAAAAAAAATTGACAATGTGGAAGAAAATGACAAGAAAATGACAAACACCTGCTGTCATTTAAATCCATTTTCCAATGGCAATCTTGCTTATTTTGCTCAAAAATCTTTAGTCTTCCATCCAATTATGCTGAGTGCTACTGTACACTGATAGTGGTATATTTAGACAAAACTCATTTGTTCAATTGTAATTTTCAGTTAAACTGCTTTGCCACAATTTGTGTGTATGTAATATATTACAGAGACATACATGTATGCAACAAATGTGTGTACTCATAGATTTATTATTTTTAATAATGAATTATTGGTTGTGTTTGTTAACTTGAGCAAATAAGTGCCGCAACTTTTAATGTGCCTTCGTAAAAATACCGCTGGGGTTTGGCCGATGCGGCCACTCCAGTTTGACTGAGTTGCCAACCATCCAAAATGCGCTTTCACCACTCTGAAATCGCTCATGCAAAAATAAGTTTGCACTTGTTACGTTGAAATAAACATGAATTATGCATCATGTACCATGGAGAAGCAGCGACCGCAGGTGCTTGAGAGGGCTGTATTAATAAGAAAAGGGTCAGCTTACTTTAAGTGCTCATGGGATTGTGGAATGATGCACTGACTGTGTTTGTTACCAACTATGCAACCACAGAGGAAGGAATCTGGGGCTATGCAATGATTAATTTTAGTACCAACATGTTACCTGGGATGCAAGGGGAAACAAGTAGCCACTTGAGCACTGTTTATGGGTTCTTTGGTATTAAATCTAAAATCATTTTTAATCATAATATCTGTGTTATGTAACTTGTACGATCAATAATAAGCACCTGAATATTTAAGTTTGCGAGAATTAAAATGCGCATTGAGATGGTTTGGCAAGGAAACTGTGGAACTGAAGAAAACATCCTCAGAATTCACCTTGATCGTGGCGACTATAACTCTTGCCCCCTGGCAAATTTAAAGTGGCCCCAAATCACTTGCATAACCCGGTGAAGGTCATATGTCTCATTTGACAGTGACAAAATGAATGCTAGCCTTGGCCTGTACATGCCTCTGTTGTTTGAATTATCCCACCTCTTGGTAAAGTTTCAAGGGATGTGGTTCCAGACTATGTTTTTATGCCCGCCCAATGGCGTTGATATCACTGTTGTGTACAGTATGCTTGTGGGAGCGACATTCGTGCATTGCACTGCACCACAGGCTTCATGTGGCTGTGGTTGTTGAATGAATAGCTGGAAGGGGATATGAATCAACAAGGGTACCTTGTTGGTACATCCATAGACATGTGGATGTACCAATAAATGGAACCTACTTAATGCAGCTGCACATGTACCCACTATATACAGCATTACAGGCATCTTTTTAAGTCAGGCACCCAAAAATACTGTACACCTAGCAAAACAATTTTTGTCTTTCATTATGTTCGAAAATTTGGTCCCAAATGGGTCATATTGAACTGACAGATTTCCTTTAAACAAATAAATGAACATGTACAGTACAAATTTATGGATTAGGTTTTTCATGATACGTTTTAGGTTTATCTTTTCCACAAAAAGTGCAGATCATTTTTGTCAATAGGCACACAGATGTTGCACAGCTCCACCCTGTCCCCCATTATGCATTCCCTAGATTGTTTAGTCCCACACCCCTTGGCAGTGTTTCAAGGGAAGTGGTTCCAGACTATGTTTTTATGACCAGCCAAAGGCCATGATGTCACTGTTGTGTACAGTATGCTTGTGGGAACAACACTTGTGCCTTGCACTGCGCCATAGCTTCATATGGCCAGGGGATCAGGAGGTGGGTGAGCAACCGAAATGCACCAACAACATGCATGCATCAACTACATAATGCATACTTTTGTTACACAATTTACAAAGTAAAAAAACAAAACTACAACGTAAAAGAAAATTAAAAAGAAACCACCTCTAGAATCATCTTAAGCGGCCACACATGTTAAACAGAAACTTAATCAGAATCAGATATCGGATACAATCCACCGTGGTGTGATTTTCCTTGGATCTATTCCAAGTTCACAAAGCAATGGGCTGGTCTACATACAGTAGATGGTACGGTATGGACCTTGTTTGTCAGGTTGCTGTCTCCTCGCACTGCATGTGGAATTGCATGAATTGTAGTAGGCTAACACCAAAACTGTGAGGTTTGTCGTCTGCTGACATGACAGCGCAGTGGATGACAAACTGTTCAGGGGGGTAGCAGTGGGCCCGCACATGCATACCTATGGTCTAGGTCTACCACTGTCAATATCCTGCCACTACCAGTCCATAGTTTGGGTATTTTTATTTTTCTAATCTGTGTAATAACAAAAGACCCCACCTATCCCAAAAGTAGAAACCAGTAAGTCTTTACATCTCTGTGGAGTAAAATCATTAGTTTTGTAAGGTCATATCTCGGTTCACAAAATGACAGTATCTCAGTTGACACATCAGCCTCCTAAAAAGAACACTGTGTCTCAGGAATATAAAAGCTGGGTATGACCGAAGATATTTAGGACCATTTTTCAACTCTACCCTTGAATGGAAACTCCCAAAACCGAAGAAGTTCATCCTGGTCTACATCTACACAATCCTGCCTTTTTTACGCCATACAAAACCATTTTCAAAAGAAACTGGGGAACTTTTTATGTTAATGAGTTCGACAAAATTTTCACTTGAACTAGTGTAATGCACCCCCATGTGATTTCGATGCACTTTGTCAACATATCTGAATATCCCGTCCGAGTGTCCTTAGCACATAAAAAATTTTCCTATTGGCTGAATGATCACACAAAGCACATACAATTTTGTTTGACTCATGAACGTTGATCTCTAAGCATAATTAATTTTCAGGTCGCCTGGATTCTTGTGCTGCTCAGGATGCAACCACACTTTATTTCTTTTTCCTTGGTCTAAAAATGTTAAATAAATTAGTCAAGTGATCCTCATTTTAGAAGCGATCCAGTGTGGAGTGATTTTCCTTGTCACTGTCGCTTACACTGTGTTTACACTTGATCCGGCGAGGAGGATCAGATCTGGCATGAAGGATCAGTTCTGGATCAAAAACGTTTGTAAACGCAATGCAGGATCAGATGCTGATCCCGGGATCTGATCCTCCTCTCAGGAAGGATCAGAACCGGTTCAGATTCCCCGCGCGGGATAAATTTGCAAGTGTAAATGTAACGCTGGATCAGATCCCGGAATTTGACGTAACTACATCCGGTGCAAGTCTTGAAGTGAGCGAAAAGCAAGTCTGTGTCATTGTGAAGACCTACATGTCATGTATACTTACATGACATTGTACACGCACCATACATATGCTGTTGGTCCGGCCGCTGCGTACATAACCAGCATTATGCTGGTTCCCAATTAAGCCTGTGTGCTTTTGTCCTGTGAGTTGGTAGTAAACTGGTACATGTACTTGCCCATTCCCATGCTTTATCCGCGTCGCCTTTAGTGACTTTCGTTACTTCGGCATATCGCTGATCCAAAACCTTCCATTTCCCCATTTTTCATTGCTTAATCTGAGACTACGTAAGATAAGACAACGAGACGTATATACAGCGCGTAAGTACATGTAATACTGGCTGACGTTTTGCTCCAGTGCGCATCATCAGTGAACTGTTTGCATAACCTTTGCCCTGAAGTTGCAGTGCTTCATCGATGCCACGCGGAATCAGGATCCAGTGTAAATGCGGCACAGATCTGATCCCCTCGCTTGATTGCTCTCGCAGGATCTGATCCTCCTTTGTAGGATCAAGTGTAAACGCGGCGTTAGTTTACATAGTGATTGGCCAGTCTATTGTGAATGGAATGTGCATTGCAAACGCCTGCCAATATATCCACGTTGCTATGGACCTTGTTGGTTGTTGTTCCTCGGCAAGTATTATCATAGCATTAGGCCTATGTATTTAGTACTACTATCAATTCCCTCAACATTTTTTTTATTCCACTCTTACAGAGATTTCTGAAATGCAGTGTTTTCTTTTAAATAATCACAACACAAGATTGTTTTAAAGTTGAATAACAGGATTGTTGGCATTTTACCCAAGGTCAAAGCAAATCAAGAAAAGACATGTACAGTGTAAAACTACGGTATGTTACATTCTGGACAATAACAAAACAAGACCGGACATGTCCCAAAACTAGAAACTTATAAGGCTTTCACTCACACACATCTCTGAAGAGTAAAATTATAAATTTTGGAAAGTCAATTACCAGTTCACAAAAGGCCAGTATTTCAGCTGACACAGCCTCTTGAAAAGAAGACTGTGTCTCTGGAATGTAGAAAGCCATGGTCACAGCCAGAAAAGACTGAAGATTCTTCCTGCGCCGAGCCGACCACATTTGCAGCACACTTACTGCTGCTATAGCATTCTGCACATATTCCCACAACAATAGGGCCTTTTGCTAGGCACTTATATTGATATGTAAAGTAGGGAAAAAACTACAGCAGACGGCTGGTTGCTAAAGTTTGGCAAAATTGCAGTGAACACAGTCAAACCCCGGTTCAACCTTTTTGCAATGGCACTAACACTGGTTAAAAATCCAGATACAATCATACCACAGTACTGCTTCCCTCTCTGATGGAAATGCTGTCCTTACCTGTCACATCTACGCCCTTCTACATTGACCTTACAGTTACAAAATCCGGAAGTACTATCACAGCTTGGTTCATTGTTGACACTACCTGCTACCACACACTCACAACTCCTGCAACAAGGAAAGAGACATACAGCAGCTTCAGTGTTGGATCAGTCAGAAATGAGATTATAGTATTGAAGAGTTTTGTTTTATGTGGGTCTTCATTGCTGCAAGGATTTTGAACCTGAAGTTTCAAGGGGCACAAATATCTTATGGATAGTGCTACTGCCAAACCGAACTTTGACACCTACTTGCAGCATTGCTTATGGATGGCAGGATTGCAAGTGCCATACACTGAATATAACGACCCAACTCTACGCAAAATGAACGGTGGTAGGTTAAGCATATTAATACAATCTTGATCATTAGGTGCAGTTAAATTTATTTTAATTAAATGCATATGGAATGTGGTGCAAATGGGGACTGACAGCTGGAATTCCAGAGTGAGATTTTTTTGTAATTTAGTCATCCCCCATAAAGCTGTTGAAAAGAAATGAAATTACACAAAAATGTACAGATAAGATCATAATATACATAACTGCAGCACACTCTGACCTCTTTGAGCTTAACTAACTTTAACCTGTTACACAATCTGCGTGTTTACCTGTCTTGAGATAAAACTCTTGAGTGTGGACTCAAGACCTTTATGGGGGGGGGAAGCATGGGGTAACATTACTCAGCAAGACTGCTTGAAGCAGATTCAACAAGTGTTCAACTCAGAATACATTATATGTGACCCACTCTGCAAACATGAATCTTGAGTCAGTGGAGCCACTTTAAGTTTTACTTTGTATTAGATTGAGGAATTAAGCTCTTTGTTTTGATGTGTCACTCAGTTTGGGGTGATGGAAATGGACGTTGTGTAGATGTTAAAATGTTGAGGATTCCTGTTGTGTAAACATGGTGCAAGATTCTTTCAAAGGCCTTTACCCCTTTGCGCCAGGACGCGGATAGAGCCGTCGTAAAAATTGAGATCCTCAGCCCGCTTTTCAGCTAGTATTCTCGGTCCACGCTTGAGCGAACACAGTGAAAGAAGGCAGACCCTGGCTCTTGTATATGTGGTAGTTGGTCTTTGTGCGAAAAGACCGAATTTGCATCATAATCACTAACTTCACAATAGTCCCCACTTTGAAAAGAGGCAACAGGAATGTGGAAGCTTAAGTAGAGACGCATGCCACTGAACAATCAGCCTTTTCACCATGTAATTCAAAACGTGCAGAGCACGCAGGGCCACAAACCGAGAATCTGCGGTTTGGCAAGTGGCCTTCGTGGCCAAGCGAGGCTGGAATTCTTGGAGTCGGCTTTCAGGAAGAAATTCCTGTCGTCAAGGGATTAAATCAATGAGGCTCTCTAGTGACAAGTGGGTCACATAAACCTATTAAGCCCCTTTGAACATTTTTCTTAAAATAACTATAACACTATTAAAAAAAATCTCTATGGGTTTCAATGAACATTTTTGACAACCTTTGCTACTTGCTTGATTTAAGTTGCTAAATCTCTTGAGAGCACCTGAGGTATAATCACGAGAAAACCAACACAGCAACGTGCACGTATTGTTTGCAAGCAAAATGGAAGCAGTATCTTCTATAAAGAAAAATTCAGGGCTTCCGTGAGCGTGCATATTGGCGTATTTTATGCAATGAAAATGGAGAATACGAAAATAACTTCGCATAAAAAAATGCATTCATTTTGACCCTCAATACTTTAAAAATGTCACTTTTTTACTGTAAGACGTCAAACACGTTGTAAAGAGTGCACTTTTAATGTCACATGACTGGTCACATGATGACGTAATTATCACATGAGGTCAATTTTTGTCTAATGCACTTCCCTTTCTAGATACCTGCAAGGTTTCAACCAAATCGGACATGTCTTTCAGGAGATATAAGGCTTTGAAGTTTGCTCCTTTAATGTTATGTCAGCTGACACCGTATGATGTCATTATGACGATGTTGTTCTTTGACCCTCTCTAGTTTGGGGACTTAAAGAGTGCATACTTAAGGACGGCATCAAAAATAAGTTTACCGTTTGCACGCGTGCAAATGTCAGGAACGCATTCTTTTGTTCGAGCCACCTAAGATGGCACGCAAGGGAACGGGCCCTCCTGTTCCCTTGCGTTCCTTGACAACAAAAGGCCTGTCACGGTCTGTGCACACAGCAAGACGTCTAGGGTGCAATAGTGGCACAAAAGGTATCCAGAGAATGGTATACGCTTACTGACACTTGTCCATTGGTGTGAAATAAAATTCTTGGCAAACACTGAACAGCGGGATTGTGAAAGGTTTGGCCAATATTCTCATTCCTTTTAATTCTCAGAAGCAAAACACTGTCGGTTAAGCTCAACACGATCAGGGCCTCTTATTAACAAAAAGATACACACTGTATAAAGTTATGGAATACAAACACCCGCTGGGTCTTAGCTGGAGGGATTGTGATCGCCCATTATTTTATTCGGTATATGAGGCCTGCCTAACCAACTTAAAAAAAAGTCAACACTTCTGGCGTCAGATTAGAATTGGGGTAGGATTATTGCCCGGCCTATGGAATTATTTTTTCAGTGCCTCTATCAGACAGCATAAACAGCCTTTTTTAACAAAAAATCCTCAACAGTTTCTGAAGATAGACAGCCGAGATAATGTAATGTGTTCCACGGGAGACAATGAGACTAATTGATTATTTTTAGTGGTAACGTCTTTTCTTTCTTCAGAAAAGATGAGATTTTTGTGGAAGAGGTTGTTTATAAATTTCGAGGCCTGGAAAATGTGTACTTGTA